ATTTCTATGATACACGACCTGCATATTGCATTGTGTGCCCACCGCCCAGAGTCAAAAGGGGGGGGTAGCAGAGGTAAAGGGGGCCAAATACATGGTGATGGATAATCACACATTTTTAAAGCTAATTATCCTCTGTCTAGACTGTGTCAGGGAAAGGGAAGAATTCCCACCCCTTCTAAACATGTTTAGCCCTGACGGCTGGACTAAGAATAAAATAATAAGATTGACACAGGCTAGATTAACAAGAAAAGAAACAATTTAATATGTGTGCACAGGCAGTTATAATATGATACTTCGATCACAAAATGAGGCTCAAAGAAATGATTGAACCGGACGTCTTTTCACACTTTTTAGACAATAAGTTTGTGAACAGCTGACAGGACGAAAAAGTTAGTGTTCGTCAGAAAGTCATCGAAGCGAGGTTTGGGTATTGATTGGTGAGGAACTTCAACGAGTTTGGGCTGGGTAGTAAATTAATTCAGAGGTAACAAGGTTTGTGCATACAGATGCTTTGGCTCTGGGTTCTTTAAATCTAATAAAAAGAGAATTCTCTGCCTCCAGGTCTAAAAAGAGTACCTTTAACATGGGAGATTGCCCGACCGGTGTGGCTCAGTGGTTGAGCATCGACCCACACACCAAAAGGTCACCAGTTTGATTCCCGGTCAGGGCACATGCCCAGGTTGTGGGCCCGATCCCCAGTGGGGGCATGTGGGAGGCAGGCAATCGATGTTCTCTCTCATCAATATTTCTCTCTCTCTCTTTCTCATTTCCTCTCTCTAAAATCAATAAGGAAAAAAGTATTTTTTTAAAAACGAGAGATTTATCTCCTACTTTTAGGGGCCCAGAGGCTATTGTTTTTCTTGCACGGTCTGTTTCTTAAGTAAGTAACTTTAATTCAAAACAATCAATATGCCATTGTGGGATATTTTGGGGCAGCCTGTCTTGGGCCCCCACAACTCTATGGTTTCTAGCTTTATTATAGACTCTTTTATATACTTTATTCAGATTATAAGAGTCAGTCTCTGCTGGCGTTATTATAAATTTACTTTAAGAATTTTTTTTAACATGGCTACTTTCTCTTTACGTCTGTCTCTTAAGTTGAATAGACTTTCCACCCTTAACAGCATCACCATTATCTTGAGGGTTAATAATTCATAAATCCAGTGGATAAGAGTCAAATTGCTTTAAGTAAATCTGAAAGTTACCAGCAAGAGCTGAGGGAGGGACTGGCAAAGAGTTAGAGCCAAATGAAAGAAGAATAAAATGTATCTGAAATAGCATAGTCATCTTTTAAAAAAAAAAAGTATATATTTTTTATTGCTTTTAGAGAGAGGAAGGGAGAAGGGGAAAGAGAGAGAGACATCATTGTGAAAGAGAAACATTGATTGCTTGTCTCCACATACCCTGACGGAGGATTGAACCCATAACCTGGGCATGTGCCTTGACCAGGGATCAAACCCATGACCTTTCAGAGTACTGGAGGACGCTCCAACCAATTGAGCCACACTGGTGAGGACTAGTCATCTTTTTATATGCTAGATAAGCAAGGCAATTAAAAGGGCTGCCATCCTATAATCACCAGAGTCCTGCTTCACAGATGGAAGCAAGGCTTTGTCAGACAACAAACATTTGATTTGTAATGTAATATAAATAATAATCCAGACACATGAGCAATATTCTATTCAACAGTGATGGCAAACAGCCCATGACGCCTGGGTGAATCACTCGCTGTATCAAGAAAGAGAACTAATTTTTTAAACCCAGGCATGCAGTATTGCTCTACTTTAGACTTTGAATGTGGGTAAGAAATAAATGACCTAAAAGGATTCACTCCCTTTTTCCTGCTGGGATGCAGGTTAGTGCATTCCTAGAATCCCTTTTACCTAGATGTGTTCCAGGGACTTTATCTAATTAATGCTTCTGAAGTAAGATACCTATTTTGGCATGTATATCACCTATGGACTTGAACTGGTGTTTGCCTTTATACTCAACTTGACCTCTGCCAGCCTTCCCATGAATCTGTCGTTGGTCACAAGTTGAAGATGAGCAAAAGCACATTAGAAACAAGTAATAAATCCAAAGGAAAAACTTTCCTGTGCAACCGAGAAGTATCACCACCATATATTAAAAGCTTCTGCACAGCAAAAGAAACAAGCATCGAAATGCAAAGGCAACCCACTATATGAGAGAGCATAACTGCCAACAATACATCAGATAAGGGGTTAATTTTCAAAATATATAGAGTACTCATACAACTCAACAAAAGGAAGACAAAGAATCTAATTTAAAAAATGGGCAGAGGACATAAGTAAACACCTCTCCAAACAGGACATACAAATGGCCAAGAGACATATGAAAAAATGCTCAAGATCACTAATCATCAGAGAGATGCAAATTAAAATGACTATGAGCTATCACCTCACACCTGTCAGAATGGCCGCCATCAACAATTCATCAAACAACAAGTGCTGGCGAGGGTGTGGAGAAAAGGGGACTCTAGTACACTGCTGGTGGGAATGCAGACTGGTGCAGCCACTATGGAAAACAATATGGTGTTTCCTCAAAAAATTAAAAATTGAACTGCCATTTGACCCAGTGATCCCACTTCTAGGAATATACCTTAAGAAGCCTGAAACACCAATCAGAAAGAATATATGTACCCCTATGTTCATAGCAGCACTATTTACAATAGCTAAGATCTGGAAACAGCCCAAATGTCCACCAATAGATGAGTGGATAAAAAAGCTGTGGTACATTTATACAATGAAATACTATGAAGCTGTAAGAAAGAAAGATCTCTTATCCTTTGAAACGACATGGAGGGATCTGGAGAGTATTGTGCTAAGTGAAATAAGCCAATCAGAGAAAGACAAATACCACATGATTTCACTTATTTGTGTAATATAATGAACAAAATAAGCTGATGAACAAAATAGACCCAGAGACATAGAAGTAGGGTTCAGACTGACAAACCTCAGGGGAGGGGGGTGGCGGGAGGGAAGAGATAAGCCAAAGAACTTATATGCATAACCAATGGACACAGACAACAATACTGGGGGGGGGGGGGGGGGCAAGAGGAGCATGTCAATGGGAGGAAAAGGAGAAACATCAGTAACAAAAATAAATTAATTTTAATGATAATAATAAAATAACTCCTTAATTCCTTCTTTGAGTGTTCCTTTGTGTTCCTTTGTTCTTTTGGGTCTCAAAGACACTGTTGAATTTGTTGGATTTGTATTTATACCAAGTCACCTCCCCCAATCTGATATAGGAAGTTTCCTTACACAGAAGTTATCAGGTTAAGCTATGATGAGTCAAGCACGTGCCAAGAAATGTCACCTCCTGGTAAAAACTCAAATCACAGATACTTCTGTCAATAATGAACAGATAATGCATAGAAAAGATAGATCATTAAAATTCACAAATAGGCCAAAAATTCCCAATGCTTTCCCAGTGTAACTTTCTTCAGAGCTGATGGTAAGCTGCAAAACAGTACTCACTTGAGATCCATTCCTTCTTTGTATTTTTCAAAAACTGTAATCTATTTGTCTAGAAGTCTGAATGGAGAAAGAATCAAAACACTATTCTTTACCATCAGTAACCTCTGAAAGTCAGTTTCATTTACTTTGTATCTACACCTCCCACTGCAAACATATATGGCCACCAGGTTCTGGGTTAAATTAGATGTTGTGCCAGTTTGTCGCTTATAATCTCATTTACATTAGAAAATGTAATCTGTCATTTATAGAAGGGGAAAACGCAGAGGTGCAGGGAATCACTCCTCCTCCACTCCCAAGTTTCCTACCAAAGGAAACGAGGGTGAAGGACAGAGTGATAAGGCTGGAGAGGAACTCAAGAGTAGTGATGTTCATGGGAAAAACCCAAGAGGACCCAGGAAGCAGAAGCAGCAGAGGGAACTGAGAAGGCAGCAATTTCACACAGAATCCCCAGTGGGTGACTGGATCACCTTGCTCATTGCCACCTCCAGATCCAAAAGTCCCTGCACCCACCCCTGAGAGTGTCCCTGCATTTCAGGATTGCAGTCCACCAAACCGCACTCCAGCTCACAGGTTCAGGAAGCAGAGCATGGAAGTCATTACCTCAGGGATGCATCCCAGCTATAACTATTTGGTCTTCTACCACCCCAGGTAGGTTCACGCTTGGAGCCAGTTCGGACTTTTAGTTCATAAATCCCTGGTTCTGCACAAATTGCCTGTCTATCAGCATCCCTGTCTATGCCCTGGGGCACTGGCCCTGGTCTTCTCTGACTTCACTATTGGCCCCCATCATTATGGGAGAGCCCAGGACTCTAATATCTAACACACCGGTGGTCTTCTGGCCTATTTGACCCAGTTTTCTCATATCTCATGACTTAGACAGGGACCTAAAATAGTGACTAGACTATAAACAGTGCCCAGTAAATACTGCAGGACAGATGGGGTGAAGGACAGATTAGTTCTATATTTCAAGAAGTACATAGAAAATATGAACATAAAGAAATAATGAATATGTTGACTCAATTTAAGATTTTAGAAAGAATGGCACATTGCCAATTGAGTCCCTTTATCATGATACTGAGTATCTCGTGGGCCTTTCTTGGACATCATACATCACATGATAGTGTTCATGGATAACTGTCACACCTGCATGAAGAACGAGGACAGTACTTGGTAATGCCAGCTTCCAGGAAGACACACGCTATCTCAAGAGTTTTCTAGATGTTACTCTACCATGTGATGTCACCACCTTTCTGCTTTCTCACTTCGGGTAAAGTGGCTAATAAACCAAGAGGTCCTAACTTGGCATCTTGAGCAGAATAATTCTGTTCCATTTTCTTCAGCCCATATGTCGGTACTTGGGGTTCACGTGCTATTTCCCTTCCCTTCATGTCTCTAACCTTGATTTTCAGGCACGAGATGAATCTATCCATCAAACTAAGGAGGATCAAAAGGCTGCCGACAGGCAGATCCCATGAAATCAATTAGGCACTTCTAACTTACAAGCTTCCCGGAGCTTCTCTTTGTCATAGTGAAATCCTTCATAGTCTTGCAAACTGATTTTGTTCACGCGGATCCTCAGGCGATCTGGGACAGACTGGGGACTGTAAAACAAGAACCAAATAGTCAGACAAACACGAGAGCGTAAAACGGAGTCCTCTGCACCTGGAGGGACCAACGGCGACATCCCCTCTTCAGAAGAAAAAGTTCATAGTCTAACAGTCTCGTGGGCTCTTTACTGGACGGCAGCAATTATCTGGAGAACACTTCTCCAGGAACCTCAAGTTGCTGAAGTTTAGGTTAAGAACATGGAAATAAGCAGACAAAGCTTCTGGAGACCATTCACATCATACTTGCTATTAACTTAGAAAATAATTCTAGTAAGATCACGTGTTTGGTTCCACAATAAAGTACATGCAGAGAATCTGCACCAGTGAGCATTGGAACAGAGCGGTAAAGAAATGCTCCAGGCAAATGCGCCATAACAGCCTAATGACCCTCCGAGGAGACAGAAAAACTGTGAAAAGCGAGCCAAGAATCTTGAAAGCACAGGACTGAGATCAAAATAACTCGAGACACCCCAACAGTTTCTGAGACCACCTCTCGGTCAAAACACATCACAATAAACACTGCCTGTGACAGAGCCTCTGAGCGCTGCAAAATAAAGAAAAACATTAAAATATGGGCATTGCAGTTTCTTTAGGAAGAGAAGGAAGTAGGTGTTTCATTTTAAAAGAATTCAATCCATGTTAGTTCAGAATATTAAACAATAAAAGGGGGAGTACCGAACTTTCTGACGTATCCTGTTCATCTTCACTGTCTTCACATGGATTCCCTGGATGTTCTTAGGTAATATTTTTCCAATAGTTTAATTATGGGTATTAGCTGAGTAAAACAATTTCGTTTGCATCATCACCACTGTGAATCAATATTATTTCTTCAAAGTATTAATAGAACACAATCCCCACTTTTCCTTAAATATTATCTTATACTTAGATTTTATTGGCTCAGAGAACTTTCTCAAATAGAGGATTGCTTCTCCTTTCATATATTATGGGATAAAAGTCACCATTGAATAAAGTGAAAAGAATAGCATTATCCTTTAATTCATCTGATGAAGAAAGGAAGGAAGGAAAGATGGAAGGAAAAAGGGAGGGGGGAAGAGGGAAGGGAGGGAAGGAAGGAGGAGAGGAGAGAGAAGAAAGAAGGATGGGTGGAAGGAAGAAGTAATACTTCAAAAATATTGTCATAAAATTGCTACACCCACCACACACACACACACATGTATTTAATTTCATTGCAACTCTCAAAGAGGTAGAGAAAAAAATCTAATTCTCATGTCTAAAACCACATTTTAAGGCAAAAAAGTCTAATTAACTCCCTCCATATAGACTCCCATTCTACTACCCCCCAAAATAACACATATACAACGACATATAGATACATGTCTCCCCCAAATACACACACACACACACACACACAGATTTAAATATAAGTGCATGAATAAAAATGTCTGTGGTTTACCAAATTAAAAATTAAACCCATACTAAACCACAAGATGGATGTTTCTGAGGAAATGTTGAGAAGCCAGATTCAGCCATTGCTTTGGTCACCCGGTCAAAGCATGTTTGTAGGGTGTCCCGTTTGCACTGGGCATTGTGCTGGACATTGATCAGCACTGACAAACTGACCTAAGTATTTAAGTCATGATGGGAGAGAGGGTTTGACAGCAGGTTTTTAAATTAGTAGAACAGACTTTAAATATCATGCCTATCCACATCATCATTTACAGATAGGGAAAATGAGGTTCAGAAAGATAAAGTGATTTCATGGTCACACAGCTGCTAAGTGGCAGAGCTGGGAGGAGAGCCTTAGACTCTCACTCAATGGTTTCATGTTCCTCTATTACATGGAGCCAAGAATCCCATGGGTTTGAGAGCAAAGACTGGAGCCTGGGTGCACAGAGTCAGATGATCTCGATGTGGTGCTCAGTCTTTCCTTTATCAATCAACAATCTCGTGGTACATTCAAACGAGAACACAGGGAAAATATTACACAAGTGTGTACATCTACTATCTAGGGAAAAGTCTGACAACAACATACCTTTAAGTGAAAAAAGTCATGGAAAATTTTACATGGCATAACCTCCTCCATGTAAACTATGGAACCGTGGAGTTTATTATGTCGAGAAATGTCTGGAGAAAATGTTCAGCGAGCTGGTCCCAAGTACTTATCGCCACATGATGAGATTTGGTGATTAATTTGCATATAGCATCATCATCATTTTTAGAAAAATAGTATGTAAATGAATAATGATAACTTAGGACAAGAATAAAAATAGAAATTATAACAGAGTGTTAGGTATTAGATGTGAGTAGATAGAAAAGACTTTCAGCAATTCACAGAGTGACCATACAATGTTCATACCAAATGCTTATCTCAAAAGTAAGAGGGGTCTGATCTTTTTATTTCCAAGTTCACCCCAGTGACCTGCATAGGAAGTAGTTAATAAACATGTTCCTGCAAGCAAAGCAGATAAGAGGGAAACAGGAACCAGAGAATGTGGTGGCCCATCATGCTCTGTAATGGGAGAGGGGCAGGACAGAGGTTGAAAGATCTCCACCTGTACAATACCTGCAATCACAGCGCATCTACTAGCAGTGAGCTCTAGTCTTCTCCAATGGGCTGGAGCTATCAAGACTAAGACCTGGCTACAGCGGTTGTGATAGAGGGACAGGATCCAGAGAATGACTGCAGACCAGTCACTGTGCCCCTCCTCCAGGGAGCTCCCCATGGGCTGACAAGTGTGCGTCATCCTTATGAAAGCCATCAGCACCTGTTCCCTGTCCATACCCTTCTACTTTCCACCTGCCATCTGTGCCCACCAATTCCTACCACACTGTTCCTCCCGAGCCACGGCCTCCTACCAATCTTCCTGACTTATGGGTGGCACACCATGGATGCAAAACAGGAACTTTCATTTGAATAGAACGTTCAGATCCCACATGAATTCACAGATTATCTCATTTCATCTCCAGAATGATCAGCTAAGCAAGATGGAAGGAAACAGAGACTCTCTAGCCACTTGTCACACCCCCCATCTCCTTCCTACACACTCACTGCCTTGCTCTCAGCTCCCATCTTCTGCCGACAGCACACCCCCCTTTCCTGCCAGCAACAGCCTGTTTAAACCCAGCTTTCTGATCAGGGTACCTTGCGTTGGCCCTGCTATTGAATGTTGTCAAAATGAGGCCCATCAGCAAGTTCTAGATCATAGAGACCATGATGGAAAACCACTTTGAATTATCCTGGAGCCCGGTGTAAACACTAGCCAAAGGAAGTAGCAGCTCGGACTCCACATTGGAGTGCCTGGATTTGCAGGAAAGTTCTTCCATTTACTGGTTAATCAAGAAACTCTGTGCTTCATTTCCTCATGGTGAAAAGATAACAACAGTATTCACCTCACAGGAATATTGTAAGAACCGAATGAGTCAATATAGGTGATGTGCTTAGAAAACTGTCTGGCACATTGTAAGTGCTCAATAGATGCTAGCTATTACTGGTATAATTATTATTCTGTAAGTTCTGCTCTTAGGTAAGGTTCTGCCTAATAAGCCATAGCATCTGCTAATGCCAGGCATTGGAAGAGGTTTAAGGCATATATAGGAACCCCCCTAGACACTTGTGACAAGCTGTTGGGCTTCCTCTGGGGGACTGTCTAGCCTAGCTGGTGTCATGGTTCTTCGGGGTCTTCTCCCACTGGGTATTTTACAGAGCACTCAATAACATGAAAACAGACCACTGTAATATGAGGCAGAAAAAGTACACAGAGATGAAATGAAAGCCAAGTAATTCGGTCGTGTCCCTTTATGTCAAAATATATTAGTGTCCCATTAGTGGCTGACTGGAGTGGAAGATGACAAAGGTGTTCCTTGGAGTCTGGGGAATAGCATTGCATTAGCTTTCTAAAATTAAATTTGCCAAGAAAGTTAGTGGAGCATAGAAGAGATTAATAACCTGAGTGAAAATACATTTGCCTCGGTGCCAACATCTATCTCAAGCTTCTCCTATCCTGATTTAAACTCTGTGTCAGGGTTTCTGAACCTCACTTCCAATGGAACCTCTCTCTCAAGGGCCCCAAAGAAAACGCAGCAATCTATGAACTACCTTTGAAATTGGGCAGTGACCTTACCTGTCACTTTCTCATTCATTTCCTCTGAAGCATTGAGACTGAGCTTGGGCAGCGTGAAAATTCATGGCTCTAAACCTAACTCTCAACTGTCCCCCATGATGACTCTCTCAAGAACCATAAGAACACCTCTCATTGAAGTCACTCACATGGACCTCCAAAATGTCCAGCCCACAGCCTCCCTATTCACAGTGTGCACACCCGTGCCTCTCAGATGTCGGGGGCAGGGGTGAGTGCCATCAAGACAGCGACCTGAACTCTCATTGCTATTCAGTGCACACCTAAACCTCATCATCCTCTCCTCTTCATTAAATACCAGTGAACCGGAAACATCTACCAAGGCATCTTTTCATCAGTTCTCAAGCTGGGCCCTACCTGACAATAATAGTACTCAAGGGCTTCCGTCAGCAACTTCTTAGAAATTGCAACCATCTACCCCGGGACATTTTCAAACTGCCACTGACAATAACCTATCCAAAAACACATCCAACTGGGCCTCTTTACACTGAACAATAAAATCAAATTAGATCAAGACTTCCGAACAGAGATGTAACATGGATTTTAGATGCCTGTCTAGTTCAGACAAAAATTCCCTTGTCTTTGCTTAGAGACCCATACCTCAGGAATCTGACTTGAGTTGTAAAGGAGGTTTTGAATTTGGATTAAAACCTAAATCACATAGTCAATCATGAGCTCTCATTGTCCAACATGTTTTTCTAGAGGAAGTATCTTTAAATGTGAATTCATTTTTGATAGATGTTGAATCCACTTTTGGCCTCTTCAGACTCCATTTATGAGGTAGCTGATGTGGCATAGCTTACAAATGATCTGAGACAGCTCTCCCCTCCAGACCGCCAATGAGATAATGGAGTTAAAGCATTATAGGATCGGGAGAGATCTTAGATGTGACATAAT